CTGGAGTTTTCGATGGCACTGGTTATAGATCATGGAGGAGAGCTGTTCTTAGAGCCTTATATGTTAAGAGTAGAACATGTTTTATCAATGTACAATTAGTAAAGCCCAATCTAGATGATCCTAGTTTCCAACAGTAGGAGAGGTGTGATGACATGGTTACCACTTGGATTCTGAATTCCTTGTCACCTAATCTAAGAGATAGTCTGCAGTATGTTAACAATGCACATGAATTATGGGCTGAATTGGAGGAAAGATATGACCAGACCAATGGTTGTAAATTGTATCAGCTTCAGAAAGAAATCAATGATCTTGTTCAAGGCACTGTGGATGTCACTGGGTACTACACGAAAATGAAAAAGCTCTGGGAAGAAATAAGCACAATTGATATGAGTTCTTAGTGCAATTGTGTGTGCAATTTGTGGGGGTAAAGTCAAATTGATCAAGGCTGAGCAGGATAGAAGGCTTATACACTTCCTAATGGGTTTAAATGAGATGTATACTGCCATCAAAGGCAACATTCTCATGATGCGTACTTTACCTAGATTGGCTCAAGCTTTTGCCATATTGTCCCAAGAAGAAAAACAGAGAGAAGTGAAGCCTCACAACCACACTGCTTTGGATTCCACTTCCCTAAATGCTTATGCTTCAACTCACAACAATGCAAGAGTAAACAGTCTCAGAACTAACTATAGTTCTTCTAAGGGACATACATACAATTCTGGAAACCTGAATAATACCAACATGTTTAGATGAAACTCTAGTACCAGCAGGTCTACTTTGTTTTGTGATTTCTGCAGGAGATAAGGCCACACTAGGGAGAGATGTTACAAGCTTAATGGGTATCCACCCAACTCAAAATTCTCTAAAGGCAAAAGTTCCAACTCTGCAATGGCAAATGTATGCAGTAGTGAGATTGATGGAAACCACTGTGAAGAAGATTCTATGTTGAGGAAGCATATGCCATTGAACCTGTCCAAATACCAGTATGAACAGTTATTGAACCTCTTGGGATCTCTACAAGCTGGACATGGAGTTTCCAACTCAGACAATGTGCTAAGTGGAGCTGTGAACCTGGCAGGTATACTTGCTTGTTATTCTTCTATTACTGAGATAGGCGACCTTTCTTGTAGATATGATAGATTAACTGATGGTTCTTGGATCATAGACTCTGGGGCATCACATCACATGACATATAACAAAGCCATTCTCACAAATATTAGACTACTACCATATCCTTTTCTCATCTCCCTACCTAATGGTTACAAAGTTAAAATGACTGAAATTGGTGATGTATGTTTAAATCAAGTCCTAACATTGCCGAAAGTTCTATTTGTACCTAGTTTCAAATTCAATCTCATATCAGTTCATTGTCTAGCATTACAATTTAAAGGTGTAGTCAATTTTAATTGTGTTTCTTGTTTGTTGCAGGGCCCTTCTGAAGAGCCCTCTGGAACTTGGTAGAGCAAAGAATGGTCTCTATTTCTTGTGTACACAATGCCACAGTTCTTCTCCTGATGGCACCAAGGGTCCTCATGTCACTTCAAGTCATTTTACTCCATTAGCTAAATGTACTAACAGTCCAGTTCAAAACATTTATTGCTCTACTGTAAAAAGGTTTTTCTCATATCAATAAAAAATGTTGTTCTGATTTTAATTCTTCTTCCTACTCCACTGCAAAATGCTCTTCTCTTGCTGTTAATTCTGATAACATTTATAATAATGATCTCTTGTGGCATGCTAGACTAGGCCATGTACCTTTTGTGAAAATGAAGGGCATCTCCACTATCCCTTGTCATTTCTCTACCAAACAACCTTTCACTTGTACCATATGCCCTATGGCTAGGCAGACAAGAATGCCATTCCCAAAAAGCACAACCTCCACCACCAAGCCTTTTGAGTTACTTCACATTGACTTATGGGGACCATACCACATTCCCACTCATGATGGTTTTCACTTCTTCCTAACCATGGTAGATGATCACACTAGATCAACCTGGACACAATTGATTAGGTGTAAGAGCAAAGCTTTGCAAACAATTAAGACTTTTGTTTCACTTATTGAAAACCAATTTCAGACTAAGCTAAAGACCATCAGGTTTGATAATGGTATGGAATTTACCTCTAATGAAGCCACTCATTTTTTCCAAGAAAAGGTATAATCCATCATAAATCTTGTCCCTACACACCTCAACAAAATGGTGTAGCTGAGAGGAAACACAAGTATCTCCTTGAAACTGCAAGGGCACTCTTATTTCAGTCTAAATTGCCTATGAGATATTGGGGAGAATGTGTCTAACAACCACATATCTTATTAACAGATTACCTTCCAAGATTCTACAAAACAAATCTCCTTATGAACTGTTGTACCAAACACAGCCTACATACTCTCACCTTAGAAGTTTTGGATGTTTATGTTTTCCCACTACCTTGAAAACCCACAAAGATAAGTTTGAACCAAGGGCAACACAACACATTTTTGTTGGATACCCCTTCAATACAAAAGGTTACAAGGTTTTGGACATGGTTACCAAGAGAGTTCATGTATGCAGAGATGTTTCTTTTCATGAGTCTGTCTTCCCTTTGGTCATTGCTCCTGATAATTCTATAGTTTTGTATCTGTCTTAAAGTGTCTTGTCCATCGTCCTAAAACTCTAACTTGCATGCCTGGTACAACTAGCATTTTCTCTAATGATGACTTCCTAAATTTTAGCATGCCACATGAAGTCACTACTAATGAAGTAACAACAGTAGATACAACATTTAATACAATTTCTAATATCCAAACATCTACTAATACATCCAGCACTGTCATCCCAAACACACCAGTTTCACCATGTGATGCTCTAGTTGCTCTTAGAAGAACAACCATGTCACTTCATACACCCAACTACCTCAAAGAATATAAATACAATTTACCAAACTTGCATTCCTCCACACCTGCACCTGATCGTCATTTTTCCCTTACATCCTTCTTAACCAACCATGAGAGCATTTGTTTTACCACTTTGTGTTCTGATAGCCAGCAGTTAGTTGAAACCATCTCTCATGATTGTGAGCCTTCCTCATATGAAGAAGCAATCTTGTATCCTGCCTGGCAAATGGCTATGACACAAGAATTTGAAGCTCTATATGCAAATAATACTTGGAAATTAGTACCTTTGCCCAAGGATAAGAAGGCAATTAGTTGTAAGTGGGTATACAAAATCAAACATAAGGCAGATGGTAGTGTGGAAAGGTTCAAGGCAAAGCTGGTGGTTAAAGGGTGTACTCAGCACGCTGGAATAGATTGCAATGAAACTTTCTCTCCTGTAGTAAAGATGCCTACCGTTAGGACCCTCATCACCTTGGTTGTCAAGAGGGGGTGGAATTTGTATCAACTAGATGTCAATAATGCATTTCTTCATGGTGATTTGAATGAGGAAGTGTATATGAAATTGCCACAAGGTCTTGTTGTGGACAGTCAAAATGTGGTGTGTAAATTGAGAAAATCATTGTATGGTTTAAAACTGGCTAACAGGCAATGGTATGACAAATTGGCCAGCAGTCTTTGTTCAAAAGGATACACACATTTAGATAGTGATTACTCACTGTTTTATAAGAGGAAGGGAAGCTCTTTGGTGTTTGTTGCCATCTATGTAGATGGTGTGATTCTAACCGGAACTGATCATGAGGAAATCAACTCTTTGAAATCCTTTTTGAATAATCAATTCAAAATAAAAGATCTTGGTAAACTGTACTACTTCCTGGGATTAGAAATATTGTACAAACAAGATGGTGTCCTTATTTCACAAAGAAAGTTCACTACTGATCTGTTAAAGGAGTTTGACTCTTTGAACTGCAAAGTTGTTGCATCACCACTTGATTACACTGAGAAATTGAGGGCCACTGATGGGAAGTTGCTATCAGATCCCACTCATTACATCCCACTCATTACAGGAAGTTGGTAGGGAAGCTCAATTTTCTTACAAATACTAGAATGGATATAGTTTACAGTGTGCAACACCTCAGTCAATTCATGCAAACACCCAGGGAACCACATTTAAAGGCAGCTTATCATGTTCTTAGATACCTGAGAAAAGATCCTACACTGGGCATTTTTATCTCAAACAAGCATGACCTTACCGTCACTGCATATTATGACTCAGACTGGGCTGCTTGTCCTGATTCAAGAAAGTCAGTTAGTGGTTATTTAGTGCTTATGGGTGACAGTTCTATCATCTGGAAGTCTAAGAAACAAGCCCAGTTTCATTATCCTCTGCAGAAGCAGAATACAGGGCTGTGAGACAAGTAGTAGGTGAACTGGTATGGCTTGAAAGGTTACTGAATGAATTGTCTATACAATGCCCCTTACCAATACAGGTCTTTTGTGACAGCCAAGCTGCAGTATACATTGCCAAGAATTCAGTTTTTCACGAAAGAACCAAACATATAGAAATCGATTGCCACTTTGTTAGGGATAAACTTCAACAGAGCCTGATCACACTTCATCACCTTTGCACAGACTCATTGAGTCTGGCAGACATTTTTACAAAGGCTTTGACTGGAATTAAGCATACTACATTGTTAAACAAGTTGTCTATAAACTCACTTACCTCCAACTTGAGGGGGGCGATGAGAATATAAGTTAGTTATTAGTTAGTTATTACTGTTAGCTAGTCACAAAGTTAGTTAGTACTGCTCACTGTTAGTTAGAGTCAGTTACAGGGAAGTCAATTTTTGTTATAGTTTGTTAGTTAGCTTTAATTTCTGTATTTATATTTATAGAATCACATGTAATAGTTGCTCTCTTAATTCACATTAAATGAAATACAAATTTTCATGCAATTCTTCTAGATTCTTCTTCTCTCTTTTCTCATGTGAGTTCAAGCTCCATCAATGGAGGAGCTTGATTGATCAGCAGCAAGCTGTGCTGATTTTATCAAGCCTAGAGGGGTATACAGCGAAGGGATGTAGTGTACACTTCATAATATATATTTGGTTGTTGAAAAAGTAAAGCATTGTTTACATAATCAGCATTTTAAAACTATTAAGAATTCATTTACATTTCTTCTGTAAATAACATATCTAGTATAATCTCACAAGTGGGGTTCGGAGAGGATAGCGTGAATGCAAAGCTTATCCCTACCTTGAAAGGTAGAGATGCTATTTCCGACAGACCCTTGGCTCTAGAAGGGATGTGAAGAAGCATTTTTACCCGAACCTAGCAACAATAACTCCTCTGATAGACCCAACAAATGCGTACAATATCACAACCAGACATACCATTGTAAAGACGCGAAACGCGATAGCTTTGCTTTTCCAACTTTCAATTCTTTTCTGAGTCAAGTACATCTCTGCAGGGAAATAAACGACGATAGGCCAAAATGTTATTGCTCCGGACACCCCTACGACCTGGTTAAAGTAAGGGAACAGGACAGCAATCCCAGTCATTATTGCAACATACGCTGTTCGGAAGAATAATCTCATAAAATTCAAACTAAATGACAGCATTGATAGAGGTTTCAGAGTGTGATTCTTGTGAACGAACTTGCTATCTGGAAATTTTCTGACAAACCATCTCTCAACTTCTGCAAATATTGGCTGGCTGAAAACCTGTAAAGCATATTCAAGTCAATACAGAAAAAGATCAACTACAAGAAAGCAATTTGTAGCTTTGTAAAGAAAATATAACTTAGGCAACCAATGATGGAGCTAGAATATTCACTAAGGGAATCCAAAATATAAAGAAGTAAAGACAAAGAAATCAAGGTGATTCAACATCTACTATGTGATTCAGTTGAACCCCCTGCGTCCCCCTAGCTTGCCCATGGGCGTAACTCAAAAAAAAAGCTAGCTAGTGAGATGAGAATTGTCAAAATGATAGAAGGAGACTTAGGGGCTCAATATTGTGAAACACAACAAGAAGAATGGATTTGCTTTGTAAAGAAAAAGGACTTGCGGCCTAACTCAAGAACAAAACCTAGCTCGTGAGGTAAGGATATTTCTGAGATCATGCAAGGAGACAACAACCCATTCCCTCAACCAATGTGGGACACTTTAAGTTTAGCAGAAGAAGATGTCAAAAGTAAAGATATCCACTAACAAGGAAGAGTTATTCTGTTAAAAAGATTGTGAAAGCATAAAAGCTATAACAATGACAACTACGCCTTAGTTCCAAACAAGTTAGGAGGTGAAGGTGTAAAAATTGTATAAGAATAAAAACATGGGGCTACAATGTTAAGACTTTGACAGAACACTTAAGTAAACGTACCTGATATCCACCAACAAGATGAAGAATAACACATGCATTAGCAAAGTCTACAAGCCAATATGGTTCATAGAAACCGAATCCTGTCAAGAGATTCCCTGGTGTGGAATTACCAAAGGCGGCATAACCAAATCCTCCACAGCAAAGGTAGAAAAAAGTTGTAATACAGGATGCCATTATTGAGACCTTCTTCATGGTGATCTTTTCTGGAGGAGGTGCCTTTAATGTGTCCTACATATTTTTGGAAGTTTTCATTAATTGCTTAGTGCTGCTTAATGCTGATTAAGAAAATTATTTAATGTAGAAAGCCAAATTGCAGCACCTGAACCTCCAGAAATATAAGAGAGAATGGAAAGGCAAAGGCAATGTTCCCGAGCGCTTGAGCAACCAACCACACTTTCTCAGCAGCTGTAGAACTTGGCAGTCCTGTAATGCTGCCTTTGATTTCTCCATTTTCTGCATATCAAGATTCCGGAATGGAATTTTAAGATAATGGCAAGTTTGATCATCTATATTACCTGAGATGCTAGGCCTGAACATGCTTGTTATTGTGAAGATTTTGGGACTATAAAGGCATGCAAAAAGGTAACCTACCTATTACTTTGGCTAAGCCAAGTGCTGATCCGATAATTGAATATGTGAAGGACATGACAGCAGCAACTACGGAGAGCCACTTCATATTTGGAAAATCAGGAATTTGAGACACTATAACTTGGATTAATCCAAATATTACCATATACCTAGTACTTTCATATCCACAGGTAGCCTTGTGACCTTGATCATGATAGCAGTTTGATTTATGGATAGCTCTGAAAGCATTTAGAGGATGCATTATTAATATCAGCTTTAGAAAAAAACCCTCCAAATAGATAATTTGAGAATGCACGCGAGTAACAACTCTCAACTCTTATGCATATGTGCTATGCAACATAGCCTTATTTACTATGATCCTTTATTTCATTGGTTATATGAGACTCCTAATATCATTTAGGGACACATTTTTTTAATCCAATAATAGATATCGAGTGTAAGTTTAATTTTAAGAATACATGATAGCAATATCAACTTTATAATTATACTAAGTAATGTGTGTCCTATTTAAATATATTCCAAATCCCATTGGTTATGGAACTTTATCTCCTCGATAATGGAACACCTATCCTAATTTCACTAATTATGATATATACTTTCCTTATCCCCCTCTAGTTATCTGATTAGAATGATGACATGAATACACATCTCTACTTATAGCTAGATTCGTAAGTTTCAGACCGTATTGTTCGATAATTCTTGAACCCTTACGAATCCTTAACAAGTTTATATTGTAATTGTTAACGGTTAAAGGAAAATCTCAGAAGATAGTGTAAAATGAAAACCTCACTAGTTTAGAGCATGGGCTCACCACCTTAGGCGAAGGATGGTCCGGTGCACACCTTTCGCTGAAATATTATGTGGTGTACAAAGGTTAAATGTTAATTGTTAGCTATTATGAGTGTATATTGGTTTTGCACACCCTTAACACAACTGAGAAGAAAATCTGCATACTCTTTGCCAAACTCTTGGCTCCGCCACTGAACTTTAGAGAAGATAATAGGTCTGAAGCATGAATTTGGCAAGAGTTCATAAAGAAATCATCCAAAAACTAAGTTGTCTGATAGTATGGAAATGCAAACATGTAATCTAGGATAACCCAAACAAAAATTCAGTATGATAAGCAGCAAGGCTCATAAAGGAAATGTATATGCAGAAATTGTCGAAAGGAGACATAAACAATACTAGTAGAGCAAAGATCAATGACATACTGTATACTGGAGGCGGATGTAATCGTATATATAATTGCAAGCTTGATGAAATTTATACGAACAGCGATTCCACAAAACCAGGCATTTCTTTTTCCTGAGATGCCAGAAAAAAAGAATTTGCTGTGTAAGCCCAAGTATATATCAGCCCACTTGAGTTCCGCAAGGTAAGAAGAAACTTGCTGCCAAGCCAAGTTCTACATAAGGACAGTTAATTTTGGCATCCCATAAACTATTCAGTTGGTCCTCCAATCCAATCAAGAGAAGTTTTACAATGGTTAGGCCACCATGTCCTTAAAATCTATATATAGACTCCTGGAAGAACGACATGTTTTCTTACTTGAACATAATTTATTTCCACGAAAAGTAAGGAAAACGAGAAGTAAATAAATGGTTCATCTGAACTGAAAAAGTGCAGGACATAGGATTTTTTCTAATTTCTTCTTAGCTTGAAATTCTCACCTAAAATCTTCTGTACAGCATCAAGATAACAGCCATTCCTATCAGGGCCAGTTTCTGGATCAGGAGACTTATAGCAATTGCAGAGAAGAAATACAGAAGTAAGAGAGACACAAGCAAATATGAGCATAGTCAATGGACCAGCAATCCAACCTAGCTGTGCCATGCTCCATGCTAGTGATAGAACACCAGAACCAATTACTGCTGTAATTATATGTGCCAAAGCTGTCCATTCATTTCCTGAATTCTCACGGTTAGTACACATATTAGCTTCTGTGAGTATCATCTGCTTGTACAGGTTTCAATTATTGAAAGAAACTATTAGAAACTAATACTAGTAAATTATCTATTTTGTTAGAAAAGATCAAGATGATTACCCTTTTTACAGCTTGTTTGGATGGTTTATCTACTGTTGCTTTAAATACATTATTTGTTTTGATTGTTACTTAAATTTTACTCTACTGCTTTGTATTGTCAAATTCATTGTTATGTAAAGACGAAAAGTTTCATCTTATGTAAGGATCGATTTGGTGTGATCCCCTCGTTGCCTTTTTTTTCTTCAACTTGCTCTTACTTAACTTTACTTTACCTTAAGCTTATACTTCATATTGCTGGTGCACAGTATTATGAAACTACGAAAAACGATACAATCTATCCAAATATGTGTTCACCAAAAGTCCAAAACAATATAGTAAAATACAATACAACAACCATCCAATTAAGCTTAAGACAAATCTCCTTCAATAAACAGAGATAGGACAGCAATAATTGCAGAGGACAAGTTAAATCAAGATTCTTGAGATGGGTTCACTATGGACCCAATTTGTTATTGTCAAGATTCAAACTTTTTTGTAAAATGAAGTTTAAATGGTAAAATGGAGATAAAGGGGTTTCAAGAAAACAGGAAAAAGTGAAGTATGATACTCAAAAAAAATAAAATGACCTTGTAATATATTGGGAAAAATACCATGTAATAAATTGAAGAACAGAAGATGTAAAAAAGGGGAACTTTTGTTACCTGTTCTTTTGAGGGCAAGCTTAGATGAGTGGGAAGAAGAAGAAGAAACATAATTTGGGTCCAAAAATGGCATTTGAGAGTCACTTTCTTCATCCAACCCCATACCCCCCAGCTATCTGAATCTATTTCTGAATATTCCAAATTTAATGGAAAGTTCTTTCTACAAAAAATTGTCTGATACTATTACTGTTTAAATAGAGATAATACTATTTTTTAGTTCAAAATTCTTTCTGTTTTAATTTGTTTGTTTGATTTTGACGTGATATAGAGTTTAGGCACGTAAAAGATAACTTTTGAGTCATATGATTTTAAAAATAAATTAAGTAGAATATATCAAAAAAAAATAATCTCATGATCTTAAACATATCACGTAGAAAGTTAGAATTAAAGAATTATCAGAAAAAAAATAATTTTTTTAAAAAATAAAAATAAAAAAAAAATAAAGTAAATAAAATGAAATGGAGGGAGTAATTAACTAAAATGTTTATGTTTAGTCCTCTTATATTGGAAGAAAGTATGTTATATTGAGATTATATTTAGAATTTTGTTACCGTAGCATACGAAGTAACGTTATAAGCTTAGTACAATACATGAACAATTAAATAGTTGTTATAATTTTGTAAATATTTACTAGCCATGAGACTAAAGGTGCATATTTTGAAAGACTAAATATGATTATGATGTATTATAAGGATCAAATTTGGAATTTACTAATGATTGAGGGGACAAAAATGCGATTACTCCTTTTTAATATTTCAAAGAAATTGACACATGCTTATTTATTTATTTTAAAATTATTTAGTATTCGTATTTCAATCTAACCTATAATGGGGTAGGATATTTTTCTAAATTGAAAAGGAAAGGCCACAACTTTTTGTATGATAGAAAACATTGGTGCCTTTCAACATCTTTGAAACGTCAAAAAAATGAATTACTAAGTGATCGTTCGACCATGAAAACTAAATATTCCTCTTTGTTTGGAATTTTTAGCGTTGAAGTAACAATATTTAGAATTTCATATTTTTTTTTTCCTAATTATAATTTATACCCTCAATTTTTAGAAGCTAGCAAAATCACTAAACTTGACTAATTTACCTTAAAACATACAATCAAATATGTTTTAAAAGAATAATTTCTCAAAATAAATAATCATATAATGTCATACAATAAATCACATATACGAGCTACTACATGTTATTATAAATATTTTCGCTTTATTTGAAAATTTTGAAGTTGGAGTTGTGTTTGATTATAGTTTTTGCAAATAATATTTAGTTGTTTGAACATACTTTACCTAAAAACATGAAAAAAATTTCAAATGAAGTCCAGAGAGGATGGTGTTTAACATAGACTTACTCCTACCTTTATGGTAGAGAAGTTGTTTCTAATAAACTCTCGATTTAAATAAAGCATATTAAAAACCAAAGACTTATGTAATTTAAGTTACTAAATGAGATTTGTAAATTCCATTTGAAGAATGGCATGAATACAGTGTCTTTTGGCTTACAAATCTTACTAGCTATTTAATAGTAAGATCTTACAATTTAAGCTAATTTAGCACTAACTATTCCCTCAATTGATCCAATCAAGCCCAGTAAAGATACAATCAAGCAAACCATACTGAAACCTTCAAGAAGTATCCATTTTCTTGTCCAAGCTCCAATTTTTCTTTGCACAATGTACATTTCCACTGGAAAATATATGGTCATAGGCCAAAAGTTCAATGCTCCCAAGATTCCTAATACCTGGTTGAAATATGGAAATGCCATTGCTATTGCTGTTGTAGATATAACATATAGAGTTCGGAAACATAACCGGAAGAGGTTCAACTGGAGAGCTGGCAACACCGGGAGTTTGATGGCGTAGAATTTATTTATGAATCTGCTCTCAGGGTACTTCTGAGTTGCCCATTTTTCAACAAATGCAAATACTGGCTGGCTGTATACCTAAGGAAACGAGCATTTTTTCGCGTTAAGGTTAGAATTTTCGTAAACCAAGTAAAGGGTGGAAGGAAAAGACTTGAATTTAAGTACTACCTGATACCCTCCAACCAGATGAAGGACTATGCAGGCATTGGCAAAATCAACAAGCCAAAATGGCTCATAGAAACCTGTCAAGAGGTTCCCTGGTGTGTCGTTCCCAAAGGCTGCATATCCAAAGCAACTACAGCATAGATAGAAGAAAGTGGTGATAACTATCGCGCTTATTGACGCCTTCTTCATGGTCTGGTTTTCTGGTGGAGGCGATTTTAGTGTATCCTTCACTCCATAAAAAAGAACATCTTTAATATTAGGAGAAACATCATCAGTCTTTTGTGATACTTTTAGTGTAACTATTCCTACTCAGAGTGTTAGTATTATGTCTTGTTTGGTTTCAGAAACATTAGCTAAGTTGATATTTACGCTCCGATAATTACCCTTGAGCAAATTTTAGAAAAACTATACAACAACTATGCCTCAGTCCCAAACAAGTCGAGGTCTACTATATAAATCAATATGCAATGATCTAGTATCAGGACAAATTGTAAGAGCTGGATCTATTTATATCTCACTATGATATATTAAGAAATGCCAGAAGTTAAAACTTGTAAAGTTGTGGAATATCATTACATAATACCTGTATCTCGAGGAGAATAATCGAATAAGGATAGGCAAAAGCAATGTCTCCGAGTGCCTGGAAAACTAACCAAATCTTCTGAGCAGCACTCCTTGTTGGTACTCCCACAATGCTTCCCTTGATACCCCTATTTTCTGCAGACCCAACATCAATGGGGAAATGAGCAAAGAAAATGCTTTTCTCCATGATTGGAATTTGGAACTAAGATCAAAATACACAAGATTCTTCGATATATTTTTGGAAATCGAGATGAAAAAACAAGAAACAGAATGAGAAAAAGAACAGTCAAGGCTTTACCAATCACTTTAGAAAATCCAAGGCCCAATCCGATGAAAGAGTAGCAAAATGACATTAACGCAGCAACAACGGACAACCACGCCATGTTATGAAAATTTGGTATCTGCGACGTTACTATCTGAATAATGCCAAAAATCAGCATGAAATTGTTTGTCCCAGTCTGGCAAACAGCATTTTCTCCTCCTTTGTGGTAACAATTTGATATCTGAATTTCTCTGCAAAAATTGCCGGTCGGATGAATAACTTAACAGAAGCATATCTCATTCAGCTTGAATTGTATACACTGTCTCTTGCAGGCTAGGCATCAATATAATGGATATAATGTTATCTAATAACTCGACCAAATGAGCAAAGAAAAATGTCGTAGATACTGTTATATGTATATAGCTAACTAACCTCATACTTGTTGCACTTGTAATTACATAAGCAATACCAGTCCCATAGAAGCTCACATACTGAAGCAAACCACACAACCACGTCCATTTCTTGCCTGAACGAGTATAAGTCAAAATACATAAAAGACGCATCTAATCCCCTCCCCTAAAATAATGTAAAAGAGGAATCCTCATATGAGAAACTTTTAAAAGAGTTTCTAAGATAATTCTATGTTGTAGGATGGAACAATCTACCAAGATTAACTCTAACGGCATCAATGTAAGAGGGATTTCGCGTTCCTGTTATGGGATCAGGTGACCTGTAACAATCACATATGAGAGATGCAGATATGTATGTAACAACTGCAAAACAAAGCATGGTGATTGGCCCTGCAATCCATCCTAATTGTGCTGTGCACCAGGCTAGAGAGAGAACACCAGCTCCGATTACAGCTGAAATGATGTGCGCAACTGCAGTCCACAAAGTTCCTGGCAGGAAAATACATATCGACTATTGTTTCTTAGATTTAATCCTAGTCAATGTTAAAACCCAGGCCCTGTAGAAAATTTTGAGACAACTTTAAGCTTACCTGTTCTAATTGTATCTTCATCCTCTTTGCCTGAAGTTTTCTCTTGTTCTAGAGAACGTTGAGCTTCCATCTCCGTTTGATATATTCTTAGACAACGGAAACTAAAAACCTCAAAGCAACTCTTTGAAAATATGCAAGTGGCTTAATAGATATTACATAAAACATGAGCTGTATAAAGCCTTCACCTATTAGTAGAAACGTTCAAAGACGTAATTCGCTTATACTCCTCCCTTCACAACAACAGCACTATATAGTACCATGTAGTAGTGCTAAGTTCTCATCAGTCATCACATTAATGAAAAGGATAGAGGGAAAGAATGTCTTTGTTGGAGTTAGCCACAAATTTAGTCAACAATGATGGAACTTCCACTATAAAGAAATGTGTAGTTGTAGCTCTTTTGCTGTAATTCTACCCTTTAACTGCAAATAGATACAAATTTTGAAGAAAAAATATCTTCTTGCCATATAATTATAAAAGCAACAGTCCAAATTGAACCTACCAATGAGATAGACCTTTCACAAGGGGGGTGACTATTTAAACATAGAGTCCAATAATTTTTACCCATTTTGGATCTTATCAGTATGGCCAGCTCTGTACATAACATATTTACATTCACACACTCCATGTGCATGTCTTTTTCAAGGCCTAACAGGTCAAGCCAAACTTAGGTTCAAATCAGTGTTTGGGTTTTTTGGATTCTAGTATGAAAAAAAAAATATTAAAATCAATGGAAAATCACAAATTTGGTCGATGTGACTCGGACTGCCAAGTAACACCAACAACACACTCAGTGTAATCCCACTAGTGGGGTCTAGGGAGGATAGGATGTAGACAGACCTTACTCATACCTTTCTGGGGTAGAGGTCGTTTCCGATTGACCCAAAACTAAAGGTCCCCACCGAGATTTGAACTTGGGTTACTGGATTCAGAATCCAATGTCCTGATCACTAGACCATGGGACCACTAGAGTACCAAGCCTTCATGAAAACTTGTAATGTCACAATAAGGTCAACAAAAATCTAGAGTATGTCAAATATTCCACAATCTTTACATTGTTTCAATTATGATACAGTAACTATCAATTTCTTAAAGCCACATGAGTTCTCAATAACATGATTATATTTATATTTTCTGTTCTTCTTAGTAGACTTTTTTTATTTTTTCTATCTATTTCCAGGATGCAAACGCTCAGTCACAATAGCTACACATAACTGTTCAGCCTTCTCTCCGAAAGTCATCCAACTTTCATATGCAAAATAATTGATGACGATGATGATAACAACAAACGGTTTATGAGAAGGTAAATCAAATCCCAACAGAGTGATTTCTCTCTTCTGCCTAAATCTTAGTGATAGAGTTATCCAACATATGTGATAGTGGTAGGTAGCAGGTACCGATCAAATAGCCGAGGTGGGTAAATTAGCCCGATTTAGTGGCGGAGCCAGGATTTTCACCAAGTGATTCCAAAACATGTATATACATAAAAATAATGTTAACCATGTATAAAGTATAAACAGTGTAATTTCCGCTGAAGGGGTACAAATGAACCTCCTCGGCCCTAGCTGGCTCTGCTACTAGGCCTGAACACTACAAGACAATAATGAGAAGGTAAAAGATATACAGTGAACAGTAACTTACTAAAGTAAAACCCTGCAGCTTCCAATAAAGAGTGATTTGTGGTAGGGCCAAGCACAGAATCTGGAGACTTATAGCAATCACAAAGTATGGTTGTTGCAAATAGCATCACTGCTGCAAAGAGTAGAATAGCCAATGGACCAGCTATCCATCCTAATTGTGCTATACTCCATGAAAGTGATAGTACCCCTGCCCCTATAACCCCTGCTATAATATGTGCCGCTGCAGTCCATATTGTACCTTTTTTCTCAATATCTGAGTATACAACTAAAAAAAAAAATGAACCAAAACCCAAATTAGTACTAGTAAACTAACAACCCCAAGTCATAAAGATAGTATCTTTAACAAAATCAAGACCCCATTTACTACACCTATTCAAAAAAAGATAGAATCTTTAACAAAATCAAGACAACATTTTGCTACACCAAGTCAGAAAGACAGAAGTTCGAGGCAAAATCAAGATATTATTTTGCTACAACAAGTCATAAAGATGGAATTTTAATCAAAAATCAAGGCACCATTTACTACACCTATTCAAAAAGACAGAATCTTTAAAAAAATCAAGACAACATATTGCTACGTAAAGTCATCAAGATGCAATTTTTAACAAAAATAAAGATAACATTTTGCTACACCTAGTCATACTCCCTCTATTTCATATTAACTGAATTTGTGAGGCAATACAGACTTGTTAAGAAAAACATTCAAATATATAATTTAAATCATACTTTCCACTATTGTTCTTTGTCAAATCATAAATATAACTTTGCAAGTAGTACACTTTATCTCCTAGAAATAATCAAACTTCATTAAAGGAAATGACAAATATGGAAAAAGCTTTAAACATCCCTCTTAAACTTTCAACAATGAAAAAAGCCTCAAAAACTCAATTAATATGGAATAGAGATAGAGGGAGTAATAAATATGGAATTTTTAACAAGACACCATTTACTACTCTTATTCAAAAAGATAGAATCTTTATCAAAATCAAATTACCATTTTGCTACACCAAGTCATAAAGATGGATTTTTTAACAAAAATCAAGACACCATTTACTACCCCTATTCAAAAAGATAGAATCTTTAACAAAATCAAGCTAACAGTTAGCCATACAAAGTCATCAAGCAGAATTTTTAAGAAAAATCAAGATACCATTTGAATCAGAAGAGCCAGAAAATGTTGCCGGCAGTAATGGGGTTTCTGGATAATGTTCTATTCCACCAACCATAATTTTTTTTTTTTTTTTTCTGTTAATGTATTCCTCGTACAATATATAAGAATATATTATAATGAATAATAATGGGTCCTGTTGTTGTTTTTCAATTGGTTCTGGCCTATACAGGTAAATGTTTGGCATTTTAATATGAGCAATTAATATCAATACAACTTTTTCTCTGCACGTCACCTATTTAAAACTTCTAACTATAGGTGGGCCTTCTTAGGTCATGATTTTGACAATAGGTGAGCCTATTTATCTCATGATTTATGATAAAATTTTGACAAATAGCTATAATTACAATTTATGTATTAGCCAAACATAATTATAATTGTTGTATAAGGTGGAAGAGTTGTATTGGAGGTATAATTGTACATGTTAAAGAGTAGTATATCACAAGGAATATGAAAGTGTAGTGAAAGAGTTATATGACGTATCGCGCAAAAGAATTGTATCAACACATGTATATTTGATACAAAATTTTAAAATGTAATTATGTTTCGGAATTTTTTGAAATTGAACTTACATTTCATGAATACATTTTATATGTTTTTCAGGATATGCAATTTTTTCCTTTTTCAGTTTATGTCTACAATTAGGTTCAATTATTTTGAATTCACTCCACGTAAGGCTCATTAAAAGGAAAGCCTTAATTTTTCATAAAGGGAGTCATTTCCTACCGAATTGTTTTATTTTTAAGATTTTAAGTTAGGTCACACTAATGTGTTTGTGTCGTCTAAGACTTGTCAAATTTAGTTTTTTATCAACATAAAACCTATTAAAAGAGAAACGTTACTTGTTAGAATTCTTTTCATTTTTAGAACGCAAATCTAAATTTTCTCATCAAGAGTATCACATTTTATGATACGGCAACATTTGGTGATAGTTACTGAAGCTATTATAATTGAAACATTTATCTTGAAACTTCCTTTTATGTATGGTCCAAATAGTCTTGTCTAGTTTTTGAGATTAGATCACTATGCATAGATAAGTGTCACGTCCTGCCACATCACAGTTAAATTATGCGTCTGGATAGGAGCAGGGGCGGCTCTAATAAATTGGTGGCCTAAAGCAAAATCCAAATAGAGGCCTTAAATTCGAATATATATTTTTTATGAAATTTATTATAGCCAATTATTTAATTTTTCTTGCGACATAATATTCATAATTTATCAAACTTCTATTATTTCCTTGCTCTTTTATGAAAAAATTATATTTTCTACAAATTATACGCGATATTTTAAAAAAAATAATATGTATAACCTATTGTATTTTTAAAAAATGAGGCCCCTCAAATTTTGGGGCCTAAGGCAGTTGCCTTTTTTTCAAAGCTGTAGAGCCGCCACTGGATAGGGGCGGAAGGGTCTAGAGTTGTAGAGAGGTTTATAGAGAACTCTAGAAGCCCTTAAATATTTCAAAAAGGCTTTAGAATGTGTAGAGAATTCTAGAGAGGGACTAGATATTTTCCAAGAAATCTTTGGAAAATCCTAGAAAGTGTAGAACTCTCTAGAAAGAGGACCAAAGTGTAAATAAGTTAGGGACTTGTAAGTAATTTTACATTATACTTAGGCCCTTAGGAGTTAGTATAAATAGGGATGCCCTCTCTTAGGGATCTTAGTTTCAAAGGGTTTACTTGAGCTTACGAGATCTTGAAAGAATAGTGAGTAAGTTGTCAAGTGCCGCACGGAGCTTTAGTGAGACTCTAAGTCCGTGACTCCGTGACACAAGTCACTATACTACAAAAAAAGATACTGTTGAAAACCAACGATGAATCAAAGTAATTATTTATAAAGAAACCTACGAGCAACTCTTAGACATGCTATTCGTGGTGGACTGATAAGTACTTTATTATAAAAAGTCTCAAGTTCAAATCCTACGAGGTAGTACAAAATTACCTTCATTGGGGAGCGTTTTAGCTTTAATGAAACTAGGCGAATTTTAATCCAAGAAAAAAAACTACCTAGACAAGCTTCACGCGGCAGAGTTGAAATTACTCCTCCTACTAAAGTTTTTGGAAAAATCCAGCCAACCATCAAGTCTCATCAACTTTTTCAATCATTGGGAACTTTTTTTTTACTATCCGACAACTTTAACCTTTTTTAATGTATAGTGTTACTTATAATTAAAATATTCACTTAAAATGACAAGACATTACCAATTTAGTCCCAAAGCAAGAAAGTTCAGATTTTGTTTCCAAATAGAAAAATTTTGAACTCATGGATAATACTCTGTACTTGTATCTAAAAATGTCTAGCTATATTCTGGGGTTCTTTTTCTTCTTTCAAATAACATAAAACAGGTTTAAAAAGAAACTTGAAGCTAAATTATCTTTGTATGACTTATAAATCACGAGTTCGAATGCAACTCAAAAGTCTATCTCTGTGTGACTTTTTAAGTTTATATAGGTCACGAATTCGCATGCTCATAGTCATAGATGTATAGAGCAAACAAAATCCTTGCACTAAAAACATGTTGAAAAAACAGCACCAAATATGTACATACTGTAGAGACCTAAAGAAGTAGGAAGTAAAATGACAACACATTCTCTAAAAAGTATATGTACAGTGCTACAACAACTAAGTAAGAAATGAAAGACAAAATAACATCTATCATAAACTGCAACTCAGTGAAAAAGCAAAGTTTATAAACTAGCCACTTCTGAACATACATACATATATGTTCTTAATTAAGTCTCTTGTGGGATCTGTCTTGGCACATTTTGCTGCAAATAGTCGGCAGAAGTGGCCATATCTTTGTTGTGTTGATTCTCCTCCAACTCATCATCATTATCATCATCATCAACCTCTACAGTAACTACGTGGACAATAGTAGCTGTTTCATTTTGATCATGTGGATGCTCCTTTAAAGACTCAAATAACTCAACTATTTTATCTACATGAACTGGCTCTGAACTAGTGCTACCCTGTTGCGGCTGCTGCTGCTTTATAGCCTCTGTTCTATCCTCAGTACCTGCAGGGGAAAATATAATGTATTGTCGTACAAATATTATGACATATTTAAGATCACAAGTTTCTAACGGTTTTCAATGGCCCATCAATGTTAATACTTCTAGTATGTTTATGACTAAAAAGTTTCAAAAGTGTTGATGTTGTTAGGATCAAGACCTGCCACACTTTGGCTCTAATATTTATTTATTGGGGATTAAATGCTTGGAACCAAGCATCATGTTCGACCATGACTTTATTTCGAGCCATCAGTTGGGCTTAGCTCTCGGCAGGATATTGGCGTTACCCAACTACTTTCTTTATCATATGAATTGAAATTGAAACGGTTTTAGCATATATATGTGAAAATTTACTAAAACCTCACCCAAGTACCAAGTTGGGATAAAAAAAATAGCGATATACAACCACCCCATATGCAGGGTCTAAAAAGAATAAAGTGTACACAGATTGTACATTCCCTTATCTTCTTGTTTGTGAAGGCAGAATAACCAAATAATGCGCTAATTGAAACACAATAAACAACGAGGACCATAGGCAACTACGAGAAAAATGCTACTACTAGTATACAATGCACCAAACTAGCACCAAACCTACCCCACCTAAAAGGTAGACAGCTTAACTACCTACTAAGCTTCTATCGTAGCGACACGAATATAACTATGGAACCATCAAATTAAAATATGCTTCAAAATACCTGCCACTTCAGTGTCATGCTCCTCCTCCTCTGTCTCCTCCTGTTGAATCATTTTATCCACAATAACCGGCGCATCATCAGCACCGCCGCCATACTCTCCGCCCGTAATTCTACCTTTAATTACCGACCTATACACCAAAACAAACGACGACAATCCTAAACCTGCCGTAACTCCGGCCACCCCAAATCCCGCCATAGCAACTCCAAACACCGCAGCAGCACCAATTAACAGAGGACTAAATATAACTAGCAACGGAGAAGTTACTACCAAAAGTATAATTGAAGCGAGAAAACTAAAACCCATTAGCCCCAAAATTGGAACTTCAATTGCAATTCCAGCTATTGTTGCCCAAATCTTCGTCTTTCGGGTCGGACTCACCTCCATCATTTCCCTGTTTTCAGCCATAATATTTTTTTCTCAACACTTGTATAATGATTATCTGATCATATATTATGTTCCATATTTGGAGGATTTATGAAAACAGGGCACGTGTCTGATACTTTTCTATACGTGGTGCATCGCAAACAGAGTCGATTTTATTTGAAGTTATCGTGGCATTATAGAGCATAGTTTCATTGTTTATCCAGTGCAATATATGTTATCTGATTATATTTGGATCAATCATAAATAGTAAATCTACCAAAAAATAGAGCATAGGATAGAATTACTATAAAAAAAAGATAAAATATGATTGTTAAGTACTAATAAATAACGATAAAACTAGAAAAATATACTAAGATAACAATATGATCAGATCAAAATCAGTCATCATATAAAATGAGAGTTTTCGTCATGTTACCTATGATGTAATAAAATTTAAATAATAATCAGACACTGCTCTCTAAATTTAAAAACTATGAGTAACTGGAAAAGAGAGACTTTGTTCACAAGTCTTCAACTCATCCATTTATGATCATCTTGCACTTTTCACATTTCAACTTTTACATCCCAAAGGTATAATTCTTCATCAGGAACTCTAATATTAATGGTGATTAATCCAGAGGATTCGTCGTAATCAAAATGTACTTGTTCGTTGTCAACTTGTATTCGTTTTGGCTTCCCAGATGAATAAGCTCCAAACATGCCACATCCGCGAACCTTCATGGAAACTAATCCACATTTTCCCTCTGTTTCATACTTCAGCTCTTTGATTGCTCCTCCTGAATTGAACATATTCACAAGACCAACCGGAGCAAATCTTGATCCTGTAGACATTTCATTGATTGGAACAACTGTAAAGACTTCATATTCTCTCGCGTTTAGAGTAATTGGAATCGAGGCATTTTTAGGAAGATTGATCAATTCCCCTGCATTGGTTACAATTAGGTCAGCAAAATGTGCAATTTCTTCAACCAGAATGCAGGTAATAGAAGTGATTAAAACAGCTTACTATGAAGATGAGAATACAGAATGGCATCGCCAGTCCATCCATCATGAGCAATCCTTGGTAAGTAATTGACATCATTAGCGCGAACAATTCCAGTTATCGTCCCTGGTTGACAATCGTGGATTAGATTCTTCTTGCCAACCTTACACCATCCAGCACCTTGACAATTGAATACACCAACTACTCCATTGAAATCGTTGAGATTCCAAATCTTCAAAAGACTGCATATACATGAGTGAGATTAATGTACATTACAAATATATCTCAATTGAAAATGTATCTGATCAAGCAATTACCTTATCCCGTCTCTTGCTGGATCAGAAAACAAGCAGTCTCTAGTTGGCCTTCCTGGAAGTTTGGCGCGTAATATGGAACCATCTGGAAGTACAAGCTTCTTTAGAAGATTAAAGTCGTGCTGTCCAGGCTTGTCACTACATTGCAAATAGGCAGCGATGAGAAAATATTAACGAAAATTGGATCATACACCAAATAACTAGCTGTTTTTAAGGTATATATAAGCAGTACCTGACGTAAATAGCACAGCCTCCAACAGCTCGTGCTGCTCCGTGGTATTCAGCCATGGGATGCACACTCTAAACATATTACAAGCATTTTAGTCAGTTGAACCTTTTTTTGATAAGTTGGGAAGTATACTAAGAAACTGAGATTCATATCATCAACTCACATGAAACATATCCCAATCAGGCTGCATGAATTCACCAAGGAAAATGGTGTTGTACGCCACTGATGCTATGTGAATTGTGTGTGACGCAGGGTCTCGTGGCCAGAAATCGTCTGATGCTCTTATAACAGCTGAACGCTTTGCACTACACAACGAAAGAGAAATAAAACTGGATCAGAATATATATGGTAAGAGTATCTAGCATCTCTTTACGATGATTTTCCATTTCTTAGAACTATTTCAGCTTATAACATTTACTAGTAAGAGATGGAGAGCGAGACAAAATTACCTGAATAAACTATCATTACTATGGCTCATGCATGAAATAATTCCATTATCAGGAAAATTTCGAGCAATAGATGCCTCTAATGCTTGATGATACTTCCTTGCGAGTTTAACTCTTCCACCGTGACCAGCTCCAAGTGTTTCAAGGATGTTCTGAACATCTACTTTAACCCCATCTATACCCGCAGAAGCAAGGTATGAGTGTAGTTCATTATAGAAGTATAAAACTTTCTCAGGGTTCACTAGACCAAGACCATTCTTTATCAAGCTACTCAAAGCATCATCAGGTTCCTGTGACTCAGTCCCGGGAGATGAAACTGGGAAAGATAACTTGGATCCATAGTGTTCCATCTCAGGGACCCCGGGTCTCACACCGCCCCAGTAACCAGCAAGTGCATGCCACACATACACATACCTAAAGTGCATGATCCAAAGAAGGAAAAAACTTAGTTGATAATTAAAAGGACAGCACCTAATAGTTGAAGATATTGAAGAACATACTTCAAATTGTGTTGGTCTTTGATATTGGTGACAACATGTCGAAGTCCCATTGCAGGATCGTTAACCCTATGACCTTCCTTTCCATTTTTCTGAAACTTATGGTTCTCTTTGATATGAGTTAGCCTGTTTGCAAAGCTGAAAACGGCCAAAGAACGATCAGAACATTTTAAGGGGTTGCTAAACACTGATGATGATATTACTTGTTTTCCATCTACTCACTTTGCATGGTTATCAGCAATAGATTCAATGCCATTGGGATCCATACTCACTGATTGCCATCCATCATCAATGAGTACAAACTTTGGGGGAATACCTCCTTTCTCCAAACTGCAAAAGACATAAAAGTTTCAGCACCCTATGCAGTGCAGGAATTTAGAATGCTAATCAGTATCTAAAAATTGAAGTTGATTACCTCTGTAGTCCTTGCTTCACTCCCTCTGAAGAAACAGTTGTATAGAAAGCATCCCACGTGCACCATCCGAACCAGTTCAACATGTCTGGCATCTGAATCATGACAAAAACATACAGTTATATATATTCAGAAGTTATGATGTCAATGGCACTTGCAGAAATCAGAAGACATTCAAAAAGTACCTTCTTTCTATCACGGTGACAAAATGTCTGTAAATGCCTCTGCACCGTCCTGTGTTGATAAAGTATTTTAACCATTTCAGAAAGGCAAAATGTCTATGGTACGGTTATCAAATTGGTGCAACATATGAAATCTATAGGATGACTCTATAGTTATGAGAGGAAAATGAGTTGAACATTTGAATAAGGAAATTTCAAGAATGGAAACCATGAAAGAAAGGACTAAAACATACTTGACAGCATTAGTGATGACATCAAAAGGGTCTGGTCCAGCTGCTACATAAACCAAATGGCTTCCCTCGAAATCTTGCACAGCAGGATCTCCTGCAATCAACCATCATCATTAGCATCACAAAAATTGGTAAAGACCATACGACAAGATCCAAAACGTATCAATGGAGATTGTAATATCCATACCACTTTCCAGACATATCTCTAACTCGTCGTTTGAATTCCCTTGAAGAACAGCCCTAAAATCTCCCTCTAGAATAGGCAAGAAAACAACATACAATGCTGAATTTTGCTGGTTGTCTTGATCAAAATTTGAACCATCATTTCCTTCCACAATCAAAAACTGAGTCTCAAATGGTATATCTTGGCCAGATGTACCCATTCTCTGTGTCATCCACCATAACTTGAACCGGAAACCACACATAAATCTCAATCCTCTGCAAACCATTCAAACACATAAATAATTTCCTTGTTAAAACCAAAAATATCACAACACAATCATTACAACCAAAAAATTGCAAATTGTACTTCAAAACTCCCAAGGATTCTCAACATTTCGCTCCCGTTTGGCCGTAGATTTTAAAGTTGAAACTTGAAATTTTTATTTTTTGAAGTTGTGTTTGCACATGCATTTGACTTGAACTTTTTTATTTTTTGAAGTTTAGTGAGTTAAATATCAAGCTTTGGGAACTAGAAAACATTTGAAGATCAAATTTCATGGCCAAACAGATATTTGAAGATACTTTTTCAAAATCTATGTCTAAACACTAGCTTAGATAAAGAACATGGAAAGTCTTAATGAAGTTAATACACAATATCCTCTACAAACCATAATCAAGCATTCAACAAGTAAATAACTTCCTAGTAAAACCTCACATGAAAATCAAAGAACCAAAAACCAAAAATGTAATCTTTACAACAAAAAAATACAATCTTTACAACAAAAATGCAATCTTTACATAAGAACTCCAAACAATCTCAAACACTTAGATAAAACACAGGGATACCTTAAAATGAAGTGAAAAACAAAAAATACCATTATCATCAAAGAACCCTTAGATTCATAAACAAAAATTCAAAAATTAAAACCAGACAGAGAAAATAACTATGAAGAAGAAGAAGAACATACTGTAGTTTGCCAATAGGGAAGACCCTATGACTACCAACTCTGTCTGAGTTAACACCAAGAAATGCCCCATTAGTGAAAGCTTCACCATTTGGCTGAGTAACAATAATATTTTCATCAACATCAGTTAGAATGCTTTGCCCCAATACATTAAGCTTCCTTTCAGCTACACAAATTCCTGCTCCTACTGTCATCTTTTTTCTTTCTATAACCAACAAAACTACCCAAACAAGAAACACCCAAATGAAAAAAAAATATGATCTTTATCTTTCTAAGACCAAAAAAAAAAACAAGAAATCTCAAAAACCCCACAAAGAATAAGCAATGACGAGATCAAAACTTGTATAGTAATTGAAAAAATGCGTAAAAAATTTGAGAACTGAGAAAAGTGGAGAATAGAAAAGCTTGGGAGGTTAATATACTAGCCGGATTTTGTGCCTTTTATACAGAATATTTTAGGCTACGTTAGAAGCAAATCTCGTTTTAAAATAAGTGTCATTTTGTATATTCAAATAAAAATAAGTAAGTATATTTTTTTAACTATACACTTATTTCAATTTTTTAATAGTATTTATTTTTCATTGATTTATTATGTATTATCT